GAAAAATGTTTGAACTGACCCTCGTACCTATAATTAGCACAAGAGACGAACCTGTAATCCCTGGGATTCACGTCAATTGCGCTCCGGTAACACTGAATGGCTGCGTTCACGTTTTGCTGCTTCATCTCCATGTAAACGTGCCCCAAAAGGGTCCAGGCACTCAAGCACTCAGGATTAATCTTCAGCGCTCGATGAAAATACATCGCAGCTTTATCAAACGCTTCCCTCAAGCTATAATGGTTCCCCACTATGACACACGTCTCCGCTTTGAACCTGATGAAATTTGAAACCAAATTAAAACGCCGAAAAGTTCTAGTTTCTGTATTTAAAAAAAGAAAACGCTACAGTTATTGTACGCGACCGAAAGTAATGTCCACTCAACATGAAGTGATTTTTCCTTTTTTTATCTGAACAGTTTCGGATAAACTGACGCATTAAATTAACAATGTTTTTAACATGGAATTAGATCCAACTAACCGAACCTAAAGCACGCGTAAGCTAGCATGAATCTTAATAAAAAACGCTTGGTCGGTCCAATGTAAGCTAATAGCTAACATTGATTTAAGAAGCTTAGCATGAATAAAAAAGGGACATCGGTGACATAAACCACGAGCAATGACAGGCAAAAACAAAAATAAATGGGGTTTAGAAACTAAACCAGAGGCGCTACTTTTGTTTGGAACATTGCATCAACAAAATTGTGATTCACTCCAACCATCATCATTCTAAAACAATGAAGAAGTACGATTGTTCACAATAGCTAAACTTGGTCACGTACTTTCTCAACTCCAAGGTTGGTCACAAAAATTACTGCATAATTCACCTATCAATCTCCAGGACTTGCTGCGCCAGTCGCTCCAGTCCTTTCTTGTCATCATTCGTGTACAACAAATTGGACAGCACGTCCAACGAATCTAGTCTATATGGATCAATGTTCCTGATCAACTGAAAAACTTCCAAACTCTCCTCGGAGTCTCTGTTGCTGTTGTGAGCAACAGCGACCAGTGTCCACACATGAAGACTGCGTCGGAAACCGGCGACGAAAAGGGCTTGACAAGCATCCAATGCGGCGTCCATCGCTTGAAGCTCCAGAAATGCATGGGCAAGGAAAAAGGTTTTGATCCAATGATCTGGCAGACGTAGCTTGGATAGGATTAATTTGTGTGTGGTCAATGAGAGTAGTTCCTGCCAGGCACTCCAGTTCAATGGGAAAAGATCGACTGCATTTTCGAAGGATTTCAAGGCTTCTTCCTGTGAAGAAACCAAAAGCCGATTTTTAGCGATTAATTTCGATGATTCCCTTTGAAAAACAGTTTCAGCTTTATTGAAAAAAGTTCGACTCAAGAAATAGTATTAGAGCGCTATTTTCCGTCAGGTGAGATCCACACGATTCATGATCCTCTATCTATGAGAGCAAAACGAACTACTGTACAGAAATTTTATATTACAGTATATGCTTGTGCTGTTTAATCACGGAAGTAAAACTAATTCAAGACCCAAGAATTGTTTTCTTATCGTAAATTTATATATAATATGATGAATAAAATATTGCTTTCGAACGATTATTCAGGGAGAAATCAACTCCTGACAGATTTTCTCCAGCAAATTGGAAAAATCAGGATCCTTCAATAACAGGAATTACGAAAAATGTTTTGAGAAATATCTTAATCTCTGCTGACTGAAGGTTTCCGGAACGAGTGAATTCTAAAAGATTTAATTAAAATCAATACCTATTATTTTTTAATTGACCTGAAATCGAGTAAAAAAATTCACTGTCGTGCAGTACATTAAAAACTATTTTACACAGGCTAGATTACTTGTAAAAAAAATTTAAAAAACAAAAAACAAATTGAGTAAGAAGTTCTTCAACTTCGCACAACAAAATGTCAATTTCTTCAAATGAGGGACTTGACAAAACTCACTTCCAGCTTGAGACGCTTGCAAATGACGCCGTACAAATAGTGCATGAATCCGTCCGAAAAGCCGGTATCCATGCATGCATGTAATTTCGTCTTC